ATAGATACAAGTTATCTTTATTCAGTTGATGTATAATAATGTCATCGTCGGAACATAAGCCAATATATCAGAATACCAACCTGCACAATGAATATAATCTGAACAATGAGCTTTTTTATTTTTGCTATTGGTAATAATAGTTGATATTTACTGAATCTTTATTATGTGGCTGTCACATAAAGGCTTTATCTGCATTATCACATTTAACCTCCACAGCAGTCCTATAATTTGGATATTATTATCCCCATTTTATAGAGAAAGAAACTGAAGTTTGTGGAGTAGAAATAAATTGCTTGAGATTGTGTGAATACCAAGTGCTATCAACGGTCTGGACTGTAGATGCAGTGTGAACCCACAGGGCAGGCTCTTGCCCCCAGGTTGCACTACCTCTTAATTTTTACACAAAAAACAAAGAAAGAGGATCTCTTGTTACATGAACTGACCCTGCTCTGAGTTAGGAAAGATAAAACATGGAGTTGCTTCTCAAAAGGCTTTAGTTAACGAACAGGGATTCAAATATTCAGACTTGAAGTTGTGACTTACTTTGTAAATTTTCCTGAAATGAGAGGGGCGACTATGTATTTTCAGGCCAAAATTGCCACCACATGTAACCCATTTCTTACTTGTTTTGCCTCTAGTTTGCCTCAAGTTCTTTTTTTACTTTGTGACTTTTAAATGTACTGTACATCTGTTATTAACAGCACACCCAGAACCATATCTTGGCATTAAAATTCCATGAAGTCCACTTTGAGAATCAGATTACCACACCTATTTTTAGCTCTCAACCCAAACCACTCTTTCCATTACACTTTAAATATCTAGTGATAAATGACACTGAAAATAGCTCTTATAACCTCCCCCCACCAAAAAAAAATCCTATGTTTGGTTTAATCAGGCCCAACCCATTGACTGGCTTTAAAGTAATTACATTGCTAAAGCAGCTACCTGCCTGTGCCTGTCTCCTTCCTGGTTTGGGACTACCCTCCCCATTTGCTGCTATATTTATCTGCCTTGTTGGCCATAAAAGGCTGGCTGTGTGGCCCTGACATTCTACTGCCTGACCACATGCATTATTTTTGAACTGGGCCCCAGGTTCCTGTGTTTCGTCCTGCCTCTTAACTTTCTCTTGAATTCAACCTGGGTGGAGTTTTCATTCTCTCATCCGGCTCCTCGCGGCAGCAGAACACTTCCACCACCGTTACTCCTTTTCAAACTGGTAAGTGTGACGTTGAGGCAGAAGGATGCACTTGATAGTTTATGTGCTTAATACCACAGCGGTTAAGTGGTTTCTTTCTATCCTCTGAGCTCAGCAGTTTTTCAAAGAGATGTCAGGATAGCTGTGAAATAAGAAAGTGAAGCTCCAGGGAAGGGAACCAGAACAGCAGGGTGCCAGTTTGGGCTGGCACAGCTGTTCTCCCAGGTCATTGTATTCTTTTTAAATTAGGCTGCTGTTCCTGGAACTGTGAGGCAGTCATATTTGTCTCAGATCGAATCATAAGTGTGAAGTAAGTACTCTTCCCAGGTGTGGTTTGGTTGAAATCTGGAATGGATGAGGGACAGAAGTTCTGCGTTTTCATTCCTCCATGTGCCCATACAATGCTCCCTGGTTACAAATTAGACCGAAAGGAGGCAAATTAAGTCACTAATTTATAATTCAGTGATTGAGCTGTTTTGATGCTGTGTGGATAAACAAACGAATGCATAATGATATTCCCAGCCTAAAAACGGGTAAGTAATATTTCAGAGGCAACATAGAGGCCCACATGATGATCCTTCTGTGAATAATTTTCATCAGAATTTGGCCTCTAATGCCTGTGAAAAAGTATTATTTCAGATTACAGCTATGGAGTTTGCATTTCTTCCTAAATTCCCAAATTATTTTCAGAAAGAAAATTTAAGTCTTAAAGAAATGGAAGACCACCAAACCATCTTTTCTCCCAACATACTCCAGCTGTCATATGTTGGGGATAATCCTTGCTTATTTGATGAAGAGGAGGTGGTTGTACCTTTATTCCAGAGGTCAAAGCTGTGAAAATCAGCTCTGTTGACTTAAAGTCAGACCTGTTTACTTGTAATATACTAGCTATGTGAGTGGAATATTAACTATTATTAAAAATAAATATATTTGGGGGAAACAGAAATAAAAAGTGTAGTAAAGAGTACTGGGGCAAGATATTGAAAGATTTTAGTTTGTGAAAATAACAGCATTTCCAATCATCTGGATGTGAATTTAGCTTATAACAATATATAGGAAGGTCTTTTATGATTTATTTGGAAATCATTCAAATAACATTTGCCATGTTACAATATAGTAATGTATCATTACAGAAATTTATCTAACATCTTTATAATTGCCTAACATTCTATATTAATATATTCTAACCCTTTTGTTTTATCAAAATTCATCTAATAATTATTCTGTATATTTTATAACAGAAAATAGCGCTCTATTTAAGGGTTGAAGCAAAGTTGCTTGCTAGTAGCTATTTTTTTCTCTTAGGAAATGCCATGTAGACTGATATCTTCCATTAGTCCTAAGATAAATATTTCTGGAGTGAAGTTTTCTGAATTTTCTTCTGTAGGGAATACATGCTGACTTTTAAAATAGTTTAAATGAAAAGTAGTTTTAAACTTGACAAAAATATGCAGAGTTTAGGAGTCATTCATCATTTAGAATTTTTTAAAAAACAAGGTTTCCAAAAAACTGATTACTTCAAAACTAATTCTACTATAAAATTTAAAAATAACATTTCAGAACATGCACAAAAGCATTAAGAAATTGGAGGTGGGAGGCTTTCATAAAACTATTGTTTCATTCAAGTTTGTCAATGTATCTGATAGGCTTCCTGTCAGTGGACAGATTATTCGAGAAAGCTAAGGTGACGTGAAGTCTCCCCTCCCTATGCTAAGCACACATATCTTTGACTTTCGGTAGAACTGTTAGCTCAAGTTCACAATGCCAACTGCCACACTGGTGACTGACTCTCTTACTTCTTTATGCAGGAAGACTAGAAGCATTCATACCCTTAACAGGGCAAATGTTTTTTTTTTTTCTGGTTTGAGACAATATCATTTTGAAGAGTTCGTGAGCTTCGAGAGAGCTTGTATGTAATATTAACATAGTCCAGAGCTCAGTTCTAGGACTTTCTTTTCCATTTATAATGATTTTCATCTGTTTCGTTGGCTTTCAATACCACCTGTGTGCTGTGACTGCCAAATGTAGATCTCCATCCCGGACCTACCCCTGCACTCCAGAGCCACGTATCCAGCTTCCCACTTAACATCTCCACTTGGAGGTCTAGCGGGCATCTCAGATGTAGGACATCTCAAATCTGTCTCCTGTTCTTCCATCCCGAGCTGATGCTTTCTCACATTCCTCCCCATCTCAGTTAATAGCAACTTCATTCTTCTAATTGCTTGGGCAAAAATCTTGCAGTCATCTCTTTTTTTTCACATCCTAATTTAGAACTTTTAGCAAATTCTGTTGGTTTTACCTTCAAAACCTGTGCAGAGTCTGACCACTTCTCACACTTTCAGTGCTATTGCTGTTGTCTCTGGCCTGGACGATTGCAGTGGCCTTTGTATTTGTTTCCTAGGGCTTCCATAACAAAGTGCCACAGATTGGGTGGCTTAAATAGCAGAAATTTATTTCCTTACAATTCTGAAGGCTAGAAATCCAAGATCAAGATATGAGGAGAGTTGGTTTCTGCTTCTTTCTTCTCCTTGGCTTGCAGATGGCTTTCTTCTCCCTGTGACAGCACGTGGTTTTCCCGCTGTTATATACATATCTGTGTTTTGATTTCCTCTTCTTATAGGGATACTAGTCATCTAGCATTAGGGCTCACCCTAATGACCTAATTTTAACTTAATTTCCTCTTTAAGGACCCTAATCTCCAAATACAGCCACATTCTGAGGTTAGAGGTTAGGATTTTAACATGTGAATTTGGGGGGGATACAACTCAGGCCATTAACAGTCTCCTGTCTTTCTCTCTTGTTCCAGTCTGTTCTTCAGACATCAGACATCAGCAAGAGCAATTCTCAGTTCAAAGCCTTCCAATGGCCTCTCAGCCTTTTCAGAATAAAACCCAAGGTCCTTACTGTCACCTATAGGACCTACACTATCTGCCTTTCCCCCACGCACAATGCTCGCCTCTCTGACATGATCTCCTGTACCTCTGCCTCCCCACTTCTCCTGCAGCCTCGCTGGCCAATTTGCTATACCTGAGGGTGTATTCATTCCTCAGTGCCTTTGCAGAATCTTCTATCTAGAACGCTCTTCCCCCAGATAGTCTCAAACTCAGATGTCACTTTCCAGGGAAGCTATCCCTAATGAAGCTATTTAAAAGGACATCCATCCCTCCTCCCTGCTTTATTTTTCTCTGTAGCACTTAGCACATTCTAATATAGCTCATACTTTACTTATTTGTTTTCTCTATTGTCTATCTCCTGCAGTAGAATATATAGTTCTGTACAGGTGATTAGAGCTGGGATTTTGTTTGTCTTATTTACCACTGTATTTCCTATACTGGAATAGTCCCAGGCTCATAGTAGGTGCTCACTAAGTATTTGTGAATGAACACCACATCACTCTCCATCATGACATATTCTCCCAAATGAAGGCCCCATCAGAATGAAATGCCAGAAAATCAGAAATATGTATTATGAGGGGTTTGCAGAAAAAGTGCAATAGCCAAGGTAGAAAAACTTTCTAAAGACCTTCTAGATACACGAGGGCTGTTCGGAAAGTATCCAGCCATATAACACTTCTCATTATATTAACAATGGCTGGATACTTTCCAGATAGCCCTTGTATATATATTAAAAAAAGAAACAGTACATCTGGGCTATGAAGTTGTGAGTTTATTGAATAACTAGTTAAACTAAACTTCACATCACTTGCCATTTACTCTTTGGAAAAGATAAGAATATTAATTTTTACACATTGGTTTAGATGACTTGTTCTTTAATAGTCCACTCAGAAATTACTGTTTTCTTGCAGGTTGCCCAATTCGCTAAAGGGGCACATGATGGCTTTGCCGTTTTATCAGAGATCCCACCAGCACTATGATCTCAGCTACCGTAACAAGGACCTTCGCACCACCGCGAGCCATTACCAGCAGGAGAAGAAGCGTTCCGCCATCTACACCCAGGGCTCCACAGCCTACAGCACCCGCTCCTCAGCTGCGCACCGCCAGGAATCGGAAGCCTTCAGCCAGGCGTCCGCCTCCTCCTACCAGCAGCAGGCCTCTCAGGCCTACAGTCTTGGGACCGCGCAGTCCTCCCTGAGCTCTGAAGTCAGTCGGAAGGCGGCCTCAGCCTATGACTATGGCTACTCCCGTGGGTATGTCAAAAGAGTCTTCCAACGGCAGGGAAGAGGCGTGTGCTCTGAATAACCCTCCCCAATCACTTCTTAAATATGACGCCCTACGTTTAAACCAGGTGTGGAGACAGACGTGGTTTGGGAACCGGGGACCTGTGTCTACCTACTTTGCTTTATTGTCTCTTTGAGAGTCACAAAGAGCTTCATAATCACAGCCTTGCTTGAGTCGCCAACTGTGCTATTTCTAGAAGCAGGGAAGTTTTGCCCCAGGTTACTTTAGCAGCAGCAGGGCCATAAAATATCATTTCAGTGCTCACAGCAGTTTTCCTGGCTCTCAGAATGTTTCCGCCTAGATGAGAAACCAGTACAGAATTTAAAATCCACAAGTACACACAGGGGACGAAACTACAGCAGAGATATCTTCTAGTTTTTCAATATCTGAAAGCCAATATATTTAAAATTCTGAGCTATTATTTAAGCAGCAGATTATTTTCTTTAGCTGGGGCATTTTATAAAGACATGGACCTATCTCAGTCAGCCTAAGAATAATAGGAACAAACTTGTATGTCAACAAAATTCGATTTATTGACCCAATGCAATGAGGGAGACTATACACTAGAGGATTGTTTTAGGATTCTAGGAAGAGTGGAATTTAGATGCAGGTCTGGTCTGCAAAGTGAACCCGGAGTACTATTTCTTTAGAAACAATAAAGTTAAGATACATATGGATGGTTGTATCCAGAAATCCCTTATCTGGGCCTCCTCACCTGGAATGGGAATTGAGGCTGCTTTTCTGTGTCAACAAGCAACTGAGGTCCTCTAGGCAAGACTGAGGTGTTTCATTGTTACTGATAAAATTTCAAATAGCAAACTTACTGACAGTCTTTGATATGAGAGAAGAAGGTTTCTCAGTGCTATAGTCACTCAAAGAAGGAGGCCAGCATGACACTACAGCATTAATGTCCCTGGAGAAATGTTGTTTCCTGTTAGCTTTGCAGTTGGCTTATCTGTGTCTGTTGTTCTAGCATAATGAATGTTGGGCAGATAGTTCCTTTCTCAGACCAAGGCAATTTTTATTTTCTCAATGTTCAGAATGAAATATTTCATAGAGATTAAAAAACACTTGCAAGATACATGTAACTTTTATTAAAAATCTAACTATAGTCCACAGAAGGAATTGCTGATATTCAAAACATAGATATTTCTGGGCTATGTGGTAAATAACCATCCGCTACCTCTAATCCTCTTCTCCAAAGCATCTAGCATTTTTTGCTATGAAGATAATATGATTTTAAGTCTTACAAAATTTAAGTCCACAAAATATCTAGTAGGGCAATTGCCAAGGGTGCTTTACTCTGGGAATCTAAGAAGTTATTGAGGAAATAATAGAGTGGTTTGTACAAATAGAAGTAAGGAAGGTTTCTAAAGGCAGAAATTCCTAAATCTCTGGTGGGTTTTAGGAGCACCTGATCCACAGCCATCATTTTGTCAGTGACAGTGACCTCCTGGGAGCTTCTGCTAGATTCAGTAACAGAGCCAGCGTCTGCTGGGGTTTACCTGGAATGTATGATGGCAACATTCTGAAATTTCATTTAAAATGGAACAGGATCATTTTGCAATCTCAATTTCATAGGTCATATTCTGCCATGGGATATTCATGAGGATCTCACATTGGCTACAAATATGGAAATATTGTCACTGAAGCGAATTCATTCCTTTTAGCACTTGCTTCAAAGAAAAGTTGGGAGGAATTAACATCATGTATATGTGACAGCAGCATTTCGTTCCCCTGAAAAATGTTCCACAGATACATTTAAGAAGCTCATTTAGGAAAGCAGCTGTCTCATAATAGAGGAGGATTACATTTTAAGTATCCATTTGCCTGGACTGTCTGTGCTGGGTCTATAGAAGATGGGTATTTTCATTAGCATACAGTTGTTAACATAACTCCTGTGTACTTATTTAACTTCCTCAGTGCTTCAGAATCTAAAGAGTCTTATGAATTTGTATTAGTAAAGGATCTCTATTTCTTCAACTCTATTTAATTTTGTATTAAAATTATATAAATCCTTTTTAATCATGTATGTAATATTCATATTTATTCATAACCTGATATATGAAACATTAATAATTGAACCCATGAGCATATTTTATTCAGAAAACATTTGCTCTATATAATCTTTGGAAGACCTAGCCATTTTAGCTATAAAGAGCCTTAGATGATAAACTTTCTATAGGGAATGGAACTGTAATTATTTTTCTATATTCAACCTCATATCTTATTCCTTCCTACTATGCATGTTTATGTAAGTAGGTATTTATTAATGGCTTGCTATGTTTGAACAATTCAAACTTCTTGGTAAAAACATGTTGACCCAGAAACAAGAGGGGGAAGAAAATGCCAATATTTTTTCCCTTGTATGATGCAGTGTGAAAGACAAAGAAAGCCAACCCAATCCTGGAGGTATTTTAGCCTTTCTTTTTTTAGATCTAGAACTAACAGGTGCAGATAATATTTTTGAACACTTCAAAGTCTTCATAATTCATTTAGGTTGTGCTTTAGCTTGTTCAGAATGAAACAACTTTCCCCTGCTAAATGAAATAACTCTCTTTGGATTGAGAACAGTATTGTTGATTAAAACCCCTGAGATTTGAAACCTTGTGGAGTGTATGCAAGCACTAGGCTTGGTCTAATTTTAGCCGCTGCTTTGCAGTTAGCTGTTCAGCGTTCAGTGGAAACTATGGAGATTTGTATGTGCTCAGGGCTTGGCTGACCTTAGTGAGTCTTGGCAACAATGGCTCCTTCAGTGTCAATGTGGCTGCAGCACAGATCAGTTACCGATTGTATTCTGAGCCATGGGTTGTAAAATAAATTCTAGAAGGCTTATTCTAAATGACTTTACTCTTGGTCACAGTGAAGAAAAAAACTAAAGTAAAGAAAATAATACAGGAAAACAAAAACTCTCAGAATGACAAGATTATTGTCTTATGTTAATAATCAATGAATATTATCAAGGATTAAAGGAGAAATGGTACTCATGACCACTTTGTGAACATGAAGCCAAGGTTCTTAACTTCTGTACATGAGTGGGTTTCAGTAGAGTCTTGTATAATCTAAAATTATGTGCGAAATTATGCACAGATGAGAATTTTTTCTGTAGAGAAATACCATAGCTTTCATCAGATTCTCAGAGAATTCTGTGACTCAACGGAGGTCAGAACCACTGCTCTAGAAAGTCTACAAAGACCAGACAGTCCAGCATGTGACCTGAGGACCTCTTTCCTAATGCCGATATTATAAGGACTTGGGATGAAATGAGGCAAATGTTTACAGAAAATGTGGTATTACGGAAAGCAGGGGAACCTTCCATTCTTTTGAGTAAGCTGGATCACACATTAAGATGGGAATTATAAAAGGAATACTCTCTTATACTCAATAAGTAGGAATGAATAATTTTCAAAAACCAGAGAACAACACAGCAGATTTCTTGGATGACAGGAGGATTTAGAGTTGTCTCTCAACCCTCCGAGGTAATGATAGACACGTAGTTGTCTTATTCTAAACAAATTAAAATTCAGCCCATATGATGCAGTTCAACATCACATCCTCTATACTATGAGTCTTTAAAACAACCCTGAACAGTAGAAGTTATTATCGTCATTTTACAAGTGAGAAAACTGGAGACCAAAGAGATTAAATGGCTTTTTTTCATCATGCTAAGAAGTGGCAGAGTAGTGATTTGAGCCCACATCCTACCCAAGCCCCTCCCTTCCGGCACGTGCTGATGCCAATTAAAGTCAGCATCTCCCCTTGACCACATTGCCACCAGATTTCTCTTGAATACATAGTTTTGCATTATGCTCTCTTTTATTTACTCTTCTCATAGAGAAGCTATTGAGCACCAAAATAACCAAGATTTAGAGCAGGGAGCAATAGACAGAAGGGCCCCAATTCTAAGAAAGAAAATCCGAGGAATGATCCTGAATGCCAAGGCTGGGACCAAACAGACGCTTCAATCGCTGTTTAGAATCAAACATAGAGACTTCCAAAGAACCCTAAGAGACACCAGTTTGGGGATGAGAACACTGAGGCTCAAGGGACTCTCTCTCCCAGGGCACCCTAACTTTAAATCATGCTTCTCACCTACACCTGTGTCACATTATCAATTCGCCCCACATATTGCCCAGATAATATCCTCTTTTGAAACTACTAGACTTTGTGAAGACCATACTAACATTTAAACCAGTTCTAATTCAGACAGAGGATACCAATGCTAAAAATAAAGACCACTACACACAGCAGGGACTGGGGTGGGAGGCGAACCTGAAAGCTTGTTCCATCTCCCACCCCAATATACTGTTAAAAACTGTTACCAAAGAAATAAAGAAATCTACTGCCTTGTGGACGTTTTTGTGTCCTGACCTCAGCTGTTGGCTTGGGATTATGTTGACTTTCTACATATCCATTTCTGTAAAATGAGGGAAATGATTGTCCTTCATGTTGTGAGGTCTAAGAGATAATCATGTAGGATGTTTAGTGTAGTGGCTGGCACATGGGGGACACTCAGAGAGGTTTAGGTGGTATTATTCATTCATTCAGTAAATTATTTACTAAGTCCTTCCTGGGTGCTAAGCACTGCTCTAGGTGGTTGGGATAAATTACTAAATGATAGTTCACAATATCACAATATATTGAATTATATTGTATTAAGTAGAATTATATATTATGCCAGAAGGTAATAAATGTTATGGAAGCAATAAAAAACAGAGTAGAGTAAGAGAGATCCAGTAGGTGGGGCAGGGGTGCAAGTTGGAATTTTCAAGAGGGCTGTTAGGCCTCATTGAGAAGGTGATATCTGAGCACAGACAGGAAATAGCTGAAGGAGTTAGCCATGAGCTTATCTGGGGGAAAGATAAATTCTTTCTTATCAGGCATCAGGAACAGCCTTTGCAAGGCCCTACAGCAACAAACAGCATCGAGGCCAGTGTGAGGGAACAGGGGAGTGACAGAAAGCCTAGGT